GCATCACAGCTCACTGCAACCTCAAACTGTTGGGCTTAAGTGATTCTCTTGTCTCAGCCTCCAAGTAGCTGGGACTACAGGTGCCCGCCACAATGCCCAGCTATTTTTTGCTGCAGCTGGCCCGGGCCAGGTTTGAACCTGCCACCCTTAGGTTATGTGGTTGGTGCTGTAACCACTGTGCTATGGGCGCCAAGCCACCTATTGGCTTTTTTACCTGCAGTCATGAACAGTTGTCCCTATAAGAACATCATCTGTTTGGAATCCAGGGATAGATTTTGAGATACCTTTCAGGTCCTGCATGTTAGGGACAGACCCACCCACACAGAGGAACTAACTCAAGTGCCCTTGGACCCTCCACCAAGGTCCTGCATTCTTGTACCTGAGCCACCCAGACAGTGCCCCACATCAAAGGACTAATGGCTCCACCCTGATACCAACTAATCAGCAGACTCTGACTGTCTAGTCTTTTGCCCACCAAATTGTCTTTAAAATCCCTGTCCCCCAATTCTCGGGGAGGCAGATTTGGGAGAATTCTCCTGTCTACCCACTTAGCACTCTGTGGAATAAGCCCTCACTCTTGTAAGCCCTGCTGTCTCCGGACATTGGCTTTCTCCTGGGCAGATGAACCTGGCTGGGTGGCAACAGAAGGAATAATCAAAAGACATTGTCCAAGGGGATTTTTTTTTTTTTTTAAGAGACAGAGTCTCCCTTTATTGCCCTCAGTAGAGTGCAGTGGCATCACGCGGCTCACAGCAACCTCCCAACTCCTGGGCTTAGGCAATTATCTTGCCTCAGCCTCCTGAGTAGCTGGGACTACAGGTGCCTGCCACAACGCCTGGCTATGTTTTTGTTGCAGTTTGGCCAGGGCCAGGTTTGAACCCGCCACCCTCGGTATATGGAGCCGGTGCCCTACTCACTGAGCCACAGGCGCTGCCTGGAGACTTTTTTTTTTTAAGAGAGACAGCAACTGACTCACTTTGTCACCCTTGGTAGAGTGCTGTGGCATCACAGCTCACAGCAACCTCCGCTCCTGGGCTTAGGCGATTCTCTTGCCCACAGGTGCCCACCACAACGCTCAGCTATTTTTTTGTTGTTGTTGCAGTTTGTCCGGGGCCAGGTTTGAACCCGCCACCCTCAGCATATGGGGCTGGCACCCTACTCACTGAGCCACAGGTGCCTCCCATCCAAGGGGACTTTTAAAGGGAGCTAAAGGAAAGAGGAACAGTTGAAGGAAACTGAGAATCAGTGGCCAGAGACATCTCTCAGAGAGAGAATTCTTTTTTTGAGATAGAGTCTTACTGTGTCACCCTCAGTAGAGTGCCATGGCATCACAGCTCACAGCAACCTCAAACTCTTGAGCTTAAGTGATTCTCTTGCCTCAGCCTCCCAACTAGAGTCCTGTGACTCATAACTCACAGCAACCTTAAACTCCTGGGCGCAACTGATCCTTTTGCCTCAGTCTCCTAAGTAGCTGGGCCTACAAGCACCTGCTACAATGCCTTCTACAGAGAGAGGATTCTTAAAACTCAGCAACAGAAAAGAACCTGACTCAAAAATAGACACTGTACTTGAATAGACATCTCTTTAAGAAATATATAGGCTCGGCACCTGTGGCTCAAGTGGCTAGGGCACCAGCCACATACACCTAAGGTGGC